CAGAGAATCTGCTATACTACAGCCTGGATGAAGACTCCAAGATCATGATCTCCGACTTTGGACTCTCCAAGATGGAGGACCCCAGCAGTGTGCTCTCCACAGCCTGCGGGACCCCAGGATACGTGGGTGCGGAGGGCTCTGGGCTGGGACTGTGCGTTGGGGAGGAACCAAGAGCTGCAGGGCAGAGATTTGTCACCAATATGTCCCCTTCCCTCCACAGCCCCTGAGGTGTTGGCCCAGAAGCCCTACAGCAAGGCGGTGGATTGCTGGTCCATTGGGGTCATCGCCTATATCCTGTGAGTGGGGGCTTGGCCACTGAGGACGTGGCTCTAAAGTTCTCCTCTCCCCTACTTTGCTCTCTTCTTCCTCTCTGCTATTTCTTCCTTCCTGCCATCCACATTTACATCTATCAATCAATGACTAACATTTCCTTCAATAGATACTAGGTTTCTGGCACTGTGTGGAGCACTGGAGATTTAGCAGAGCAAACAGACAAAGTGCCTGTCCTCAGGGAGCAGACACTCTAGTGCGAGAGACAGACCATAAACAAGTAAATAAATCTATAAAACAATGTCAGATGGTAAGAAATATTATGAAGAAAAAGCCAGCAGGGTAGGGAGATGGGGATGGGATGCTATTTTAGAGGAGGAGGTCAGGGAGGCCCTTCTGAGGAGGTGGCATTTGAGTGGCATCCTGAATGAAGTGAGGGAGCCAGACACTGAGGTGTGGAGGGAGAGTGGTTTAGGCAGACAGAACAGCAAGTGCAAAGGTCTTGAGGGAGGAGAGATGGTGGCGTGTTAAGGAACAGAAAGCCAGTGTAGCTGGACAGGAGTGAGCAAGGCGGAGAGGGGTAGGTTTCCCTCCTTTGTAAAGGGGGAAACTCCTTCCGGCGGGTCCTGCCTGACCCTTAAAACTGCCCCAAGCTCCATCCCGGAGCCAATGCCTGCACTGAAAGTGGAAATGAGAATGTTTCTCCGTGCCCAGGCTCTGTGGTTACCCTCCCTTCTACGACGAGAATGATGCCAAACTCTTTGAACAGATTTTGAAGGCCGAGTATGAGTTCGACTCTCCTTACTGGGACGACATCTCTGACTCTGGTATCTGGGGTCCTGCTTTCTTCCCCTGGGTGCCTTCCTCACCTGCTTTGCGGGGCTCCTCACTGCCTTCCTTTGGTCAGATCCACCCCCCAGACTAAGAGCCGTCTTCGAGGCCAGACACCCTACCCCGGGTGCTTTCCTCTGCCTGGCCCCTGGACTGAGAAACTGTCGGCATTCATCCATTCAGTCCTCAAACAGTGTTTTTGAAAATACCTCCCCCACTGACCTCCTAATGTCTAGAACATCACCATTAATGTTTTCATCTGTCCTTTTGTGCCTTCAATTAGTATGCAAAGCCGTGTAGCCATTATCAATCATTTACACATCAGTGTAAATACACAGAGTATAATATGTTTTCCTTAAGGGAGAAAGGAGAGCGCTGGAGGGCTGGGGTGGGGCAGGGGCTTAGAGAAAGAGGACAGAGGGGTGGGGCAGTGCATAGGCAGATCCAGCCTCCATCAACACCAGGTCAGACCTGAGGAGGTGGGTTCTATCTTGGGGGTGTTCTCAGGCACCACCATGCTGTCTTTGCTTTTGTCTTGGGGGTTCAGCCAAAGACTTCATCCGGCACTTGATGGAGAAGGATCCAGAGAAGAGGTTCACCTGTGAGCAGGCCTTGCAGCACCCGTGGTGAGAGCTCCCACAAGCTGTGGGCTGGGGGTGTGTGGGGCCCCCAGGCCTGCCTCTGCCTTCACTGACAACCTTCCACACACACCTATCCTAGGATTGCAGGAGATACGGCTCTAGATAAGAATATTCACCAGTCGGTGAGCGAGCAGATCAAGAAGAACTTTGCCAAGAGCAAGTGGAAGGTGAGCCCATGTCCCTAGTCCTGGGTCCCAGCCTCCCCAGGCCTCCTCCCCACTCCCATCCAGGCCTCAGCTCACACAGCAGCTAACACCAAGTGGCGCACACAATCAATGCTCCGCGATGCTACTGAAGAAACACATTCACTCATTTAGTGCTGCGTGACACCTACTCTACTCCAGTGATGGTCTGTGACTTCCAAGTCTAGAGGGAGAACAGTGTATAATTCTTAAGGAGACATCTAATCCAAGCTACAGGGTCCTTGAAAGGGTATAAAGGTGGTAAGTACATGATAGACTTGTTGGACGTGACAGCCAAGTAGGAATTAGTCAGGCACAGCAGAATGATGTCTGCGGCAGAGGGAACTAGTGTGCATAGACCAGGGGCAAGAGAGAGTGTGGTCATTCAGGGCAGTGCAAGTGCTAAGCCTGGCTGGACTGGAGGGGCTACAGGGAGGAGCCCAGGCTGGAGACACAGGTTGGGGCCAGGCTGCTTGGGGGCTCAAGGGCCACGGTGGAGCACTGATGTGATCCTGAGGGCACCGAGGAGCCCCAGGATTTTCAGCAGGAACTTGCCCTTTAGAAAGGATGCAGAGAGGCACAGAGGGAAGGTTGGGAGACCCCTTAGGGGGCTGTGGCAGAGGTGCAGTCAGGAGACGGTGAGGGCTTGGACCAGAGCAGTGGCAATGGGAACATAGAACACTGGTTGGTTCAGAAGTCGTTTGGGAGGCAAAATTGACAAGAAGTGATGGTAAGAATCGATGTTGGGGGAGAGAGGAGGAGATATCCAGGGCTGGCCTAAGATTCCAGTTAGGGACAAGGTGGATGGTGATCACAGGGGCAGAAACTTGTTTTGGGGAATGACTGGTTTGGGACATGGTGATTTTGGGGGACAGCTCTGTGGATAGGTTGAACAGAGAATGCTACATACACATCTGGGCAAGTTACTTAACCTCTCTGTGCCTCGGTCTCCTCCTTTGACAACGGTGACAGTAATAGTGCCCACCTCAAAGACATTTGTGAAGATTAAGTGGATTATTATGTAAAGTGCTTAGAATAATGCCTGACACATAATGCTATATGAAGTGTTTACTATTGTGTGAATACAAATTAATTATATATAAAGTTATACATGTCTGTTTATATAGATATATTTTATAGACGTGTGAGTGTGTGTCAATATAGAATACGGCTGAATATAATTTAATAAAACCTTGTAGAGGTTTCAGGGGTTTTTAGGGGATCAACCAATATCCCCTAAATGAAAACAACAGAACCGCGGCAAGAATTCCACCATCAGACCCCGCCCCACGATTCCCCGCTCTCTCAGAAGTCCCTCTCCCTCTTGTGCCCACAGCAAGCCTTCAATGCCACGGCCGTGGTGCGGCACATGAGGAAGCTACAGCTGGGCACCAGCCAGGATGGGCAGGGACAGACGGCGAGCCACGGGGAGCTGCTGACATCAGCAGCCGGGGGTGAGGACCAGGGCTCTGTGGAAGGGCGTGGGCGGTCCACAGAGGGCACCTGGGCCAGAGTGCACGGTCTACTACAGCCAGCTCTGCTCTCTCTCCCTTTGTAGGGCCGGTGGCTGGCTGCTGCTGTCGAGACTGCTGCGTGGAGCCTGGCCCGGAACTGCCCCCCACGCTGCCCCCCCAGCTCTAGGGGCTTGGATAC